CCAAGTTACATGATGTTACAGTACAAGTTCTCATATGTTCTGAGTCTTAATTGACCTTGGAAGGCTAGGGCCAAAATGTTGGCTTTCCTTGCGGCCCTCCTTTTCCCTTCATTTTTTAAAATAAAAACCATATATGTATTATAAAGCAGAGACTAAATTACAAAGGAACATTATAATTACTGCTTTATAGGTATCTCAAGAGTTAAAATTCTTTTGGGGAAGCCCAATTTTGATTGGATTTTACACTAACTGGGAGAAGAGGCTTCTTGAATTCAAATTCAAAATTAACACATTCTACAAAGTCAGTATTTATGCTTATAATATTCCATCTCAAAAAAAAATCTGCAGAAAATGGCATTTTAATTTCTGGATTATTAGTTTGTTAAATTACAAACACCATTTTAAAAAGTCAGTGAGCAAGATCTTTGCTCTACAGTAATGCCTACTAATATTCATATTATTCACATAATATAAAATATAATATTTACAAAAATATCCCCCTACACACCTCTGTTGAAAGCCTATTAGAAACCGTGTTCTCCAATGCAGATGAGCAATATAACTGTAAAGTACTCAGAACCGGCAAGGACTGGGAAACGGTTAATGTAGAAAGCTTCAGTGGTCCAACAGCTATGCGGGAGGTTTGCTTCAAGTACTTTACCACATTTCTGAAAAAAATATTACTACCAATTAATTGACAAGATTCTTCAACTAGTAACTACTGGCAGAGTAAAGTAGCTGTTAACATGCTACCATCTGGCAACAAAGTTAGGAGGAAAACTGTTCCACAGTAAGAAGGCATAAGCAAGACATATTAGGACTAGCATTTAGTGACTTAGTAATTGCCTCCTCCTGACTGCCCACTCCCATAAACACAATTATATGATACCATAATGTACATTTACCTCCTGAATGTTTAACTTACTCAGTTATAGACTGCCACTTTTGATCCTGTTCTGCATGGTTTAAAGCAGTTGCCAAACACACAGAACTTCTCAATAACTGAACTTCAATGGATTTCTGAAGCTCCCTTGGATCTGGACTTAACATGTTGGGAAGCAGTTTTTTCATATCTAAAGATGTTAAATAAATTCCTTGGTTACTTTGTTTTTAATGTTCAGTAGTAAAAATATACAATACTTTAAAAAATACCCTACAGTGAGTATCTCTGTCAATTTCAGAAAGCTGAACATTTTTAATAATTGCATAAACACCACTGCTTTATAAAATTGTTTCTCATACCCCTAAAAATCCATTGACTTTAAAAGCTGAAATAGAAGTAAACCAAACTTTGTTTTTTTTTTTTTTGCGGAACCCCGGATTGAACTCAGGCCCTTGCACTTGCCAGGGAAGCACTTATTCTACTGAGCCATTTCCCCAGCCCCTAAACCAAACTTTTTTAGGGGGTGGAACTAGAGATTAAACTCAGGCCCTTGCGCTTGTCAGGGAAGCGCTTATTCCACTGAGCCATCTCCCTGGCCCAGTAAGCCAACCTATTAAAGGAACAAATCTAACTCCCTGCCAGCATATCTTACTTAATCCATTAAATCAGTGTAATACAGACAACACTCACAATACTAACTCTAGTACAATTATTTTCTACAATGTTTCACCTGCAATAAAGATGTTAATGACTCACATCAACATGAAAAGAAAAACATTTAAACACTGCTTTGTACTTTTTCAAACAAAGTATCTTTCAAAATCTCAACTTATTAATGTAGCCTTTGTAAATCCCAGTAATGGGAACCCACTGAGCTATATACCCAGCTATTTTCATTTTTCAGACAAGGTCTTGCCAAATTGTTAAGTTGCCAGGAGCTGAACTTCAATCCGTGATACTTCTGCCTCAGCCTTCCAGAATGCTGAGATTATGAACAAGTACCACCATTCCTGGCTATTTACTTTATTTTTTTTTAAGAACTTTTTTTGGGCTGTGGAGATGACTCAGTGGAGTAAGCACTTCCCTGGCAATTGCAAGGGCCTGAGTTCAGTCCCTGGTTCTGCCAAAAAAAAAAAAAAAACAGGGACTAAACTCAGGCCCTTGTAAGTGCTTATTCTACTGAGCTATCTCTCTGCCCCCCCCCTTTAAATTTAGTTTAACTAAACTTTTTTTTTTATCATAATTCCTTTGGCTTTATTTTTATTTTGACAAATATTCACATAGCGTATTCATTTTTTAAAAAATATTTACGTGTGTGTGTGTCCAGCTCAGCCCACCAGGGGACGGGGCTGGCTGGCATGTGGTGCTGGGGGATTGAACTGCGGTCCCTTGTGCTTTGTTAAGCTTGTTCTAAGCAGGTGCTTTAGACCACTGAACCATCTCACCAGCCCAGAGTATTCATTATTTATGGACTTTTTTGTTTAATGTTGTATAGCATATAGCAGTAAAAAGTAAGACAAACTAAAGCAATATTGGCAAAAATCAAAGAGTTATTTCTTGACATTTTAAAAAATTGTTATGATACTAGCTTTGCAAAAGTATAAAGGACCATTTTGTTAAAAAAAAAAAAGAAAAAGAAAAAAATATATGCATATAAACTTTTTAATATGCAAAGTCAAACATTAATAGAATCCTAAATATGTTGGTTTCCATGAGACTGCCCCCACATAAATGTACAGTAACTTCTAGATTCTCTAGTAAAACATATCAAACCAAACATTTTGAGGAACTTGTTCATTAAAAATTTAACTTATTTTTTAAAATACCTATTAAAAAAAATAAATACCTATTTTATCTTTTGATCCTCCAGCAAGTAGATTGATATTTTCTCCTGGTAACAATTCTAACTGTTCGGTGCATTCAACAAATTCTCCAGACTCAAAACTGCTTAATGATCTGTAATTAAAATATTGATTTATTTTATTATATTCTATGTTACTCACTGAACCTCCCAAAAGAACAAGCTAAAAACAAATATAATACACAGCATTGTTCTGAAATGTCATTCATGAGTACACCAACATTTTTATTTTGATGATGTGACTACTGTCTTATTAATGAGCACTAAAATTGAAGTAGCAAACAGGTAAGTCACAGCAATAAACAGCAGTTAGGCCTACTGACTCTGTCTCCTTTTTCTTTTTATATTGTACCATTTGTTACAGTCACTTCCAACACCTTGTTCTATCCAAGCTATACTGGAACTCTCCCCACATCTCACTTCCTGCTGCTCAGAAGCCTAAGATCCTGGTAAACCTCCTCTCATGAGTCTCATACTTCACTCCTGCCTTCTTTCACCACTGGCACGCCTTCCCATTTTCCTTTCCCATTGTTTTTCATAGAACCCATTTTGCCTTTGCTGAAAGAACTCTTCCTTTCCATCACTGTATCTGAAAAACAATCACATCTTTGCAACTCTTTCCCAATGCTCTGCAGCAAGATGTCAGAATAAGTCATCATCCGAGCTCTATATTGCTACTTTTAGATCCCTCATTTGCCCTCATTTCTACTACAGTTGTTCTCCAACCAAGAGAAAGGCATCATTTCTCAATTGCTCTTTTCCATCTTTGTCCTTCCTACTGTGTCCCTTCCCTCACAACTTAGCCTAAAGCCAGCACTAGAAATTTCATTACCTGCCTTATTATGTAACCTAACAGTAATGCAACCACTGGCTCCTCAGGTAAGCTTGTTTGCTGTGCAGCGATGAACTATAAAGACTTCATGACCAACATCTGTATCATTTCTCCCAATACAGGGTCTTGAGTCCTCTCCAGGGCCACATTTCCCACGTCCTTACAATGTTCCACAATTTCTAGTTCTACACTTTTAGCTAATGACTGACTCCCCGGAAAAACACAGCCTGAAATCCACAACTTATGCCAACCCCCAAACTCTATATCCAACATTAACTACTTTCCTTGAGACAGAAAAAGTATAATTAATTCATCAATATTCTTTTCCTGATTTTTCAACTTGTTTTGAAAATTTAATACTCACTTTTGTTTTGTGTCTTGTATTCCATTGTCTAGCATACAGTATATGGTCAATAAAGTACTCAATGTAAATACCAGCAGAAGGCAAGTATAATCTACAAAGTCTAGTGACCTTTATCTGCTCAACCAAGTGTCTAGAACATACTGAGTTATATCATAGAATTATTAATGCAAGAGGAATGAGAGACAAGAAAATTTAATTTATATATGCTTACAAATTCTGCACTCATTAAAACAATTTTTTATATATTCAGACTTCATCTACAAAAAAGTCATCATACTCAATCCTTTTTTAAAAAGCCATAAACTGCTGTTAATTATGAGCATGCTTTTCCCCACTGTATACACAGCTTCCAAATAGTGTTGGTTTCCTTTCCTCACCTTTAAAGATTTCATTAGAAATACAATCCTTCTGTATTAGTATACATGACCAATTCTATTATTTTTCTGCCAAAGAGGAAGACTTCATAGTTACGGAAAATTTGTTTTTAAAAGGATTAAGTATCGAAGTTTATAGTTGGAAAACTGAGTCCTTACTTTATATAGTTGAAGTCAGCTTTCAGGTTGAGTGAAGTACTAGTGGTGGTCTTTTTTAGGTCATGAATAGCATTCTGCCATTCCTGTACAGCAGCCCAATCAGCAACTGAAATGTAGCACTCACATGCTTTATTTCCTAAATAATTTATAACCTCAGGGGAAGAGTCTGTTGGTTTGGACAACACCGTTTTTCTGGATTCACCTGAGTCAAAACATTTCATAAGACAGAGATTCAAAACAATTATCAGTATTTCCAGAAGCACAGAAAACTAAAAAAAAGAAAATCAATACAAAGCTTCTGACTATGAATCCTGCTTTGTTTTATGTAAATACCAAATGCTTACCATTTACAGAATGTTTCGGACTGGCACTGTTACGCCCAGCATTGGCTAATGTGAGAACAGACTTGTCAAAGCTGGATATACAGCAATCGACACCTGTCATGGCACACAGATGCTCCTGGTATTCCACAGAGGCCTTTTCAAACCTTAAATGAAAATTAAAGGACTCTTATTTTAAATATATATGCATCTGATGTCCCAAGAAAAGAATGGTAATAGATTGAGAGAAATCGAACTAAGAAAATGAGTTATTTGGATGTGAGAGATAGGAGTGGGGAGCACTTACATTTACTCCTCACAACAAATGAATATAAAGGCAGTTAAAAGTTAAAAACAGGGGCTGGAGAGATGGCTCAGTGGTCTAAAGCACCTACTTGAAACAAGCTTGGCAAAGCACAGGGACCACGGTTCGATCCCCCAGCACCACATGCCAGCCAGCCCTGCCCCCTGGTGGGCTGAGCTGGCCACGCACACACACACAATAAATAAATGTAATAAATAAAAATAATAAATATTTTTTTTTAAAAAGTTAAAAACAGACTATAAAACTATGAGTAAAAAGCGTTAAGCAACTGATATTTATGTAGAAGGATAAATTAAAGAAAAAAAATCCACAGATAGAACTGCACAGGTGTCTCAAACACAACATAAAAAATTGTAAAAGCAAGACACTACATGGCATGAACAACCTAAGTATAAAATGCATCTCTCACTGATTAATTTTTTTTTTTTTTTGGGGGGGGATGGAACCAATTGAACTCACTGTAGTGAGAACTTGTCTCAAAAAAACTGAAAAGAAAAAAAAAAAAAAGAAGAGCTTTGTTCAGTTTTAGCAATTTAAAACTTTTTTTTTTGCCAAACCCGGGACTGAACTCAGGCCCTTGTGCCTGCCTGGCAAGCGCTTATTCCACTGAGCTATCTCCTTGGCCCCTCAATTAAAAATGAAGATATAAAGACATAATGTGGGGGGCCTGGCCTTAGCTCAGTTGTTTAAGTGGCTGCTTCCACAAAGACATAATGCATAACTGAAAAATCCAATGGGCAATGGAAAAGGATTTTACATTAATAAAGAAATGTAAATTACAACAGGTATTTTCACTGGTTCTTATTTCTGAGTGACATTCAGTATTCACAAGATGGGAGGAAGGGAGTTTTCTATCATTAAGGGGATAAACTGGAGCCATTTTTCTGTGTTAACTTATCAATATTCTGTTTCATAAGTTCTGTGTCTACAGTCTACAGGAATAGATACAGAAGAAATCAGGAGCATGGGACAAAGTTCAAGTGCTATGGTGCATTAAGATTAAACACTGGGAATAGCTTTAAGACCCAACAAATAGGAATGCTGAACTGTGGTACACTCACACACACAAATACAATTGCCAATAAATATAACAATGGAAACTGGGTATAGTGACAGAAGACTATAATCTCAGTACTCTGAGAGGCTGATACAGGAGGATCCCAAGTTCTGCCTGGATAATTCAGCAAGACCCTGTCTCAAGAAAAAAATTTTATAGTCTCAGTAAACAGGTCCTAGGTTCAATCCTCAGTAGGGCATGGGGGGTGAGGAGGTGGGAGTCACATGAGAGAAAACTTACATACTGAGATGCTTTTTTAAAAATGTATATATATTATAGGGGCCAGGGATATAGCTCTTCAGAATAGCATCTGCCTAGCAAACGCAAGGTCCTGAGTTCAATTTCTAGTACCAAAAAAAGATAAAATTTACAGAGCAAAACTAAAAAGTCATAAAATCATGTGCACTGGGCCTAGGTGGATGGGGGTAAGAGAGGGAGGGAGAGCATGCAAGTGAGAGCACAAGAGAGCACACGACAGCAAGTGGACACAGACTATTATGGCATATTCTTCTGCATCCAAAAAAAATCAAATGACTCTAAATACAGAGTTCACAGAACTAGGATAAAATGTATGTGATATAGTAATCTCAAGGAGCTAGTTCTAAAGCAACCATAAATGATCAATCAAAAACCATGTTTTCCAGCATGATTTCTCACTAATTTCTACAGCGGAAAGGCACTCAAGTGTTGCTAAAATACAGACTAAAGATAAATCCTAGTGAAGTCTTTTATTAGAAGTTTAAGGCCAGGGAGAAGGCTCAGTAGAATAAGCACTTTCCTGGCAAGCGCAAGGGCCTGAGTTCAATTCCGGGTTCGGCAAAAAAAAAAAAAAAAAAAGTTTAAATTTTTAAAAATGAACAAAGCTCTTTTTTTCTTTTCAGTTTTTTTGAGACCAGTTCTCACTATAGTGTAGTCGAGGTTGGCCTCAAGTCCATGGCCAATTTTCCTGCCTCATGCTGGGATTACAGGTAGGCACCACCATGCCCAGTTTAACATAACTTTTAACATGGAACTATGCTAGTTTTTCTTTTTGTTTTTTTTGTTTTGAGACAGGATCTCACTAAGAAGCTCTGGCTGGGCTTGAGCTCATTTTATAGCCCAGGCTGGTCTGGAACTTCCAACAATCCTCCTGCCTCAGCCTCCTGACTGCTGGGATTATAGGCATGCACCACCAAGCCCAGCTTTGCTGTTTTTGATACAGAATTTTGCTATATAATCAAAGCTAGCCTTGAATGTGTAGAAATTCCCCTAATTTGGCCTCCCAGATGCTGACATTACAAGCATATGCCACCAGTTAGCTAACTTTTAACTGTTACGTTAGTAACATAAAAGGTTTCAACATGAAGTAATCCTATTATCTATTTCTCTCTTTCTAACATACCGTCCTTCAGCCTGCTGGGCTACAGAGTTAATCCAGAGAAGATTTTTCCCAACAACAGGAGATGACCAGACAGCAATTCCCTGTATAGCTTCAGGACAATGAAGTTCACACAGTGCTTCCACCACCATCATGATGGTTACTTCTAATTCATTCCCCTGAAAATAGCATTTAGAAGATTTTACCAAGACTTCAATACCATTAGCATTAATAACCTGAACAGAGATATAACAGTGCATTGTCTAAAAAAACCAACCAAAATCTCTGCTAAATTCACCACTACTTAGCATAATCTAAATATGAAGTCAAATTGATTTAATAATTATATTAATACTATTTAACTTAGCCTTTTCTAAAACTCATATTATTTAGCTGAGTTTTGTTTTGTTACTGGAATTGAACCCAAGGTAGCACTAGGCTAGACCACCAGTAGTCCTTTCAGTTTTATTTTTGCGAGAGTCTAAATTGTAAAGGCTGGCCTCAAACTTTACACTCCAGCCTAAACCTCCTCAGTATCTCAGTTTACAGGCATATACCCAACTAGTTTAGAATTCTTGAAGAGTTACCACAAAAGATGAGTGACAAAATCTTAACAGCAGGTTCATATTAGGTCTTGAACTGGCATACACACAGAGAAAAAGTTACCCTGCCATACAAGATGGCATACAACTGTAAGTAGACCCAACATTTAGAAAGCTGAGGCAGGAGGACTGTTGTTGAGTTCAAGGTCTATATGGGCTGCACAGTGAGTTCAAGTTCAGCCTGAACTTCACAGTGAGACCTTGTCTCAAAAAAAAGGTTACCCTAACATTTAATTTATATGATGCCACTTAACACTTGTATTAAACAGAAAATAAAAATTAAACATAAATACCCATGAAATTTAAAAATTAACATTACCTTAATTAGTAAATATTTTATTATTTTTGGATCCACTTACAGTATTTATTATGAACCTGCTTATAAGTCAGAAATTATCTAGGAATTTTTCCATGCCTTTAAAAATTATTTGCATAGACATAATTATTCATTTTTAAATATTTACTGAAAACCAATTTTTTTTTTGCATTCAGTACTCTGTCTACAGAGTCTCACTACGTAGATCAGACTCAGTGATTCTCCTGTTTTCAGCTTCCCAAGAGCTATGATTACAGGTGTGCGCCACCACGCCCAGTCTCAATTGTCATCTCAGCACACCCCAGGGGGTGGGGCTGGCATGGTTGGTGGGGGATGGAATTCTGGTCCCTGCACATAATTATTCTTAAGCATCTCAGCCCATAAGGATAAGGTTTTTTTTTTTTTTGCTTTTTTAAAAATAACATGCGATATACAATAAACATAAGCTAGTAACTTTGGCAGTTATTTCTTTTATAAAATAGTGGATCAAAAGCTTTCCAAGGGGTCAAATAGCTCAGTGGATTAAAGTGTCTACTTAGACAGACCCAAGGGATGGGAGTTTGATCCTGGGGCACACTGAGACTACAACTGAGACTGAGACGGCATGGTGGCACGTGCCTGTAATCCCAGCACTTGGGAGGCTATAATCAGGAGGATCACTACAAGTCCGATCTACACAGTGAGACCTCATAGACCCTCTCCTAAAATACAAAAACAAAAGTGCTTTCCAAATGAAATTTTAACTTATTTATAGTTTAAATAATATCAAAGTAATGAAATCCAAGCTTAACAGATTTACATTCCATACCACTTTACCTGAGACAGATTATTTGTCTTCATTTCTGTAAGCAAGTCAAATCCATGCCTTACTGTCACAGCAGGCTGGCCTGCCAACAATCCAACCCTCATAATGGAGAGGCGAATCCGAGTCAGCCAGTCTTGGCAAGTTTGACGGTTGGTATAAAAAAATGTCCTGATGACCTTTACAATAAAAAGAAATAATTCAAGATTGGTTCAAATTACAAGTATGTAGGTCTCAAATACACATAATCCAAATATGTTAAATCTTCTATGACTTCAGCTCTCCATACATTCTATCAGGTTTGACAATGAAACTGCTACAAGCAATACTATCTAACTGAAACCAACCTTGGGAGGTGATGTTAGTGCATTAGCACATCCTTCATATGCATTATACATTAATTTCTCCAGATTTTCCAGATACTGTAGAAGAAGAACAAGTCTAAGTTGGTTGCTACTATGGCCTTCATCATTTTCCGCAGTTGTCCACTGACTGACATCTTGATCAGGGTTTAATGTGTGAGCAGCAAGACTTCTAATGATACCTGAAAGCAAATACCACACTCCAAATTATGATGAAATATTTAAAGATTCTATAAATAAATGTGACCTTATTTCACAAATTGGTATTTATCAAGTATCCTGTTTGTTTATACACTGTTTTGAAAGAGAAAAGTATCCAACAGCAATAATCTTTACTTTTATAGGAAAAAGATGTTCCCACACAAGTATTCTTAAGTTTTTGTGTGCAGCCAACATGACCAGTCAAAGAAAGCTTATCTAGCAAAAATATCTGAAAAATATTCTATTTTTAAAATGTATTCTCACATAAATAAAAAATCCATTATTTCTGCATTAAAATGTCTGGAAAGTTATTGACATCACAATGTTTGAAGAAACATGTAGAGTTGGTTACCTTCAATTGTCTGGAATGTATCTTGAGCTCTGCCCAATGGGGTTCTCAATTTAGAAAGGACAGTGAACTGTGCTGCTTCCCAAATAGCCCACTGCCAAAGGACAGCATCTGTCTTTAGAAGATTGCGGGGAATGGTTGATTGGTCACGCTTATCCAGTCTCTGGCAGCTATAGAACAATCTTTCTAACCAATTGTCCTTCCTGGGAAAAGCAGTTTTATATTTAATAGACAATGAAAACTTTATTTAACCCAAAACAACTGCAAAAGGAATAAAAGTAAAGACTATTTTTCTTACTAAAAGAAGTTAAAAACCTATGAAACTGAGATAAACTATAATCCTATCTCCCATTCTGAGATTCTTCAATTAATTTTATTGGTATATTTTCATATACATAATGATCATATTTTCGAGATCTTTAATTTAAAAGAGTAAAAGGCTCTTGGCATTGTTACTGCCAGTATAAAACTCACTAAATGCACTACAACTTCCCTTCTACATCCTTCCCCCAAGTATTGACAAAAATCAGATCACTTAACCACCAGGCACACTTCATCACTGAAATTCAAATCATAGATATTTCTATGTTATCTTCAACAGAACTTTTCTATTCAACAGAAATGATCCACTTGAAAACAACAATACTTTCTATTCTGCCACTCTGGACATGTTTTCAAAACTGGAATTAAGGTCAAGATATCCTTGAAGGGCTGGTGAGATGGCTCAGTGGTCTAAAGCACCTACTTAGAAGAAGCTTAGCAAAGCACAGGGACCGCGGTTCAATCCTCCAGCACCACATGCCAGCCAGCCCCGCCCCCTGGTGGGCTGAGCTGGCCACACACACAAATAAATAAATAAATAAAATTTTAAAAAAAAGATATCCTTCAAATTATTTTTCCAAGATGAAATAAAGAAGTAGCTTACCCTGTTCTGTGAGAATTCCCATACAAAATAAAACTAATAACATCAGAGAAATCTTGTGGGTGGAATGTATTACTTGGTGCTTTACTCATGTGACTTCGTAAAGCTAAAGAGATTTCTTGAATTTCTGTGTGATTGTTATTGCTGTAGACAGAAAATGAAGTCATAGTTATGCAAAATGTTTCAGTTAAAAGGTAAACACAATCTCTAAATGGGTTATTTCCTCACTAATTTAGGAATAAAAAAATAAAACAGAGTTTAAAGTGGATAAAACTGCTATTACAACTTTATAATCTGAAAACATTTCAGGCTTCCAAATCGGCTTAATTAAAAAGAAAAGCTTGTAACTTATAAATATCTAAACTACTAAGAAATATATTTTGGCTTATATAAATTGGTCTATATTCATTAGTAGGAGTTTATTAAGGCCATTAAGTAGAAAATTTCATTACTTTTTAGACCTATAATATTTGATCCTTGGACACCTCTTTAATTACTGAAAAGTGCCATCACATAATTGGCATTAATGTACTAATTACAGCAATGTGTTTTTTCCTAAACTAGACTATTTCTAGGGCAGTAAAAACGTTAATGTTCCAAAACAGTTCTTATACCTTAGGACAACATCCAGCGGGATTGATTTCAATAGTTTTCCAAAGGCTTGTCGAATGCGAGTACCACTATGAACTAGCTGAACACGACAAACATCAACACACCTATAAAAAGTGGAACAAAGTAAGTCAGGTATGGTTAATGTTCCCCTGTTGTTAAGGCCAAAGTCAAAAGACATGGTCTCTAGTCCATACCTCTGTAAAAGATCATCTGGCAAGGAAGTGGACAGAGCATGGAGACTGCTGCATGCTTGCAGACAGATATTCACATCTTCAACAAGAGCTATTAAAAATTAAAGATAAATTACTTTCAGCTTGCCAGCTGTTATAATTCCCTGAACCCACTGATTCAACAGGCAGGGAGCAGCTACTATGGACTAGACATGACTCTTGCCTGGCAGCAACATTTGAAAAAACATGCAATAAAACTTATTCAAGTTAACCAGTCTTCACACCAACTCCTTCTTGAAGGGGAAAACTTAAAAGTGCATACAGTAAGCCAAGAATAGTGGCCTATGCCTGAACTTGCAGCATCCTGGGAAGCTAAGGGAAGAGGATCAGCAAGTTTGAGCCCAGTCTGCACAAGTTAGGAAGATCTTATCTTACAGTGTAAAAATAGAAAAGGCTGGATGTGTAGTTCAGTGCGAAGGCCCTGGACTCAATTCCAAGGATCACACACAAAGAAAAAGTATATATAAACATATAATGTCTTATTCATAAGCTTTAAAATATGACAGTCACTTAACAATTTATTCTGCAAGTACTAAACAGGGTTCGCTGAAACAGAGGTTATACATGTTCAGGTCAGTAAAAGCACTAAAGTAAATGCACTCCCCCACTATCAACTATTCCTTTTTAAAGTTTGATAAAATTAAGTATCAGTCTCTTACTGTTGGCTAAAAGGCCTTTGGCAAATTTATGAAAAGATGGAAGAGAGAATAAAGGTGCATATGTTTCAGACTTCTTCATTAAAACAGCCACTTCCAAAGCCCAAGTCATTAACAGCTTTCTGAAATACACAGTAAACAGATTTTTTTTCATTTGAAAATAACAACAAAAAAACTACTAAAAAAAAATCTATCACTTAGTTTTTTCAAATATAAGAACTTTTTTTTTCCCCCCCCAGAATGGGGGATTGAACTCAAGTGCTTGGGCTTGCCAGGCAAGTGTTATTCAACTGAGCCATCTCCCCAGCCCCCAAATATAAGAACTTTAAACTACAGAATTTTCTGTGAAAATGGTAACAAGCCTCTTAAAAAGATCCCCTAATGTAATAAAACTGAATTATGAAATGTTTTACAGTGAAGAGGCCATTTATATCCCGCCTCTATAATCTGTATTTCTTATTCTCAAATTCTGAGAAGTCAGTTACTAAAATTAGCAACAGGATTATGGGATTATGAAATAATCAGTTACCTGGTATCCTGGTTAAGATTATCTTTCTTCAGCAATATTCCCAGAAGATTTAATATAATTGAGAAATGTTTTTTTGTAGCTGTAGTCACAGTACTAATCACAGCTCCATCAAACAAAGAAGGGGATGAAGAACTAAGACTACTGGAGATGAAGTGATCATGCCTAAAAGACAAAGTATGCCTGATTTTTTTGGAAGACAAAGTCAGAAGGCCAAAAAAGCAAGAAAACAAGCAAGAAAGCTCAAAAAGGAAAATGTCTTTTTTTTTTTCTTATAAAAAATTTGTGGATTTGTAGGTACAGTACCTGGTACAATGAGAATACAAAGTGTAGAGCACTGCATACTGAATGGCAGGGAAGTGAACTGCCAGGTCACTGTGCACAATCATCAGATTCTTACTCAGGAGGGCAAAGACAGTTGGAGACAGTGCCCACATCTGACAATGTACAAAAGAAAGTCAGTCTGACTCTTCCAGAACACATAGAAGTACATAAACTATGCAACTTTTTCTTTTTTCTTTTCTGAGATGGGGTATATGCTCCCTAGACTGGTTTCAAATTCCTGGGCTCAAGTGATTTTCCTATCACAGCCTGTTGTGAGTAGCTGGTATTATAGGCACTTGTAGTGTACCTGCCCTATACATTTTTTAATTAAAATGATAGACTCAGATTTGAAAATAACCTAGTACATTTAACTGCGGTCTTCAGCAAATAATTATCTGAAGATGAAACCATCATTCTTAGAATTTGCAGGACACACAGCCTCTGTTGTTATGTGACAACTCCTCAAATCTGCCGCCAATAGAAAAAAAAAACATACCTTAAACAAAGAAAAGTGGCTAATTCCAATACAACCCTCTTTACACAAATAGAAAGTCACACAATTTTGTGTGTGTGTGTGTGTATATATATATATATATATATATATGTAATCACTAAACCATATATTTTAAATGGAATTCTACAGTCTAAACCCCAATATAACTAAAAAACAAAAACTGCTACTAGATTCCACTTGGTCCACCTTTGGCTGATGTCTGGTCTAAGTAAATCCTCTGTAACTTTCAGCGTGACATACATTTCCTGAATTTTCCGTATACTGCTCATGCCACTGTGCAGCGTGAAATAAGAAATGGCACATCCTGGCATTTTATACCTTTTCCATCTTCCGTTGTGCTTTCTACTACTAAGACATAACACCACTGTCTGCTCTACGTCAAATCTTTCTGCTTGCTTCCAGAGTACAAGACATAAAAACTCCTATCTATAATGAGAATTCCTTGAAAATAAAATTTTAGTGTATAATGAGTTTACTGTAGCCTTGAATTATAAGTCAAAACTAGCAATGTGGGAAGCTACACATAAGGCAAATCTGATCAAACAACATATGAAATAGGGAAGTACAAACATCCAGTTTTCATTTTGTCCTCTTTTAGAAAACTTTCTCCCTAACTGTATCTCATTACTTTCCACTAAAATTAGCATTTTTAATTATGCAAAGGAGAAATTATAATACAGACTATAAGTGGTAGCTCTCAATCAGCTGGGTGTGGTGACACACGCCTGTAATCCCAGAGTCTGAGGCAGGAGGATCACAGCAAGTTTGAAGCCAGCCTGGGCTACAAAGTGAGTTCAAGGCCAGCCTGAAATAAAAAGTGAGAGCGCCTGTCTCAAAAACAAAAAAAGTAAAAAAAACTAGCGCCACTTCAAGTTTCTTAAAGGGGAAAAAAATTATTTTTCTCAAGGAAAAAGTACATGAATGGTCTTAGAGGAAAGTAGGTAATCAAAGACCACATACTAACATTAATTTTAGTGGAAAGTAGAAAAACTTGCCAAAAGAAGGAACTGTGTATTTAAAAAAAAAACAAAAGTAGATATATTTGAGCTGTGAAAATATGTTGATAATTTTCTGTAAGCTGCTAGAGTTCATATGAGAAATATGTTAAAAAGACATTTTCTAGAAAATAAAACATGTAAAATTATTTATCAAGGAAAAAAGTTAAATCTAGGGCCAGGAAGATGGCTCAGTAGAATAAGCGCTTCCCTGTTAAGTGCAAGGGCCCGAGTTCAAGCCCCGGTTCCACAAAAAAAAAAGAAAAATCTAATGGCAAGAACATATCCCTGCCAATTTTATCCATGCATGTCACTAATATGATATTTGTTATAGAGTAATTCTGTAGACACAAGATACGGCATTTTATTAGGTGAAATAAATTAGATGAATATGCAAGGCATAACTCTAGATAAAACAAAGTCATTAATAATGAACTCACCCCAATTAATGAGTTTTTGGCATTTCCAATTGTAGTTAGAGCACTGAGATCAAATATAACTACAAATTTTGCATTGTCTACATTGAATACATGATTCTTAAAAGCATCATGTTTTATCTCAGAACACGCATCAGGAAGTTGCAGACTATGTAGCAGATTATTTAGGGCACAAGTCATTTCTCCCAAAATTAGTTTATAAGCAGTCTCTAAAACAGGAATATTCTTCAAGCTAAGCACTGCTTGATACACAGCATGAGCTACAGCAACCACCTGAAAAAGAAAATTCAGTAATTCCATGAAAAATAAATCTTCCAAAATTATAAAGCCAACAAGTGTTGCTGGAGATGCAAAGAAATTTAATATTGACATATCCAGTCTATAATACCCAGAACACTTGAGATCTAAATTTTTAAAGAGGAAACCCTCAGGAACATACGAATGAACTTTTTAAAGTTGTAACTTGAAAAACTCAAGTTTTGAAAGAGGGAAACAGTTAAAAAAAGGAAAACATGAACAAGGCTTTTGTAAATGAGACAAGGAGGAAAGGAAAAAGAAACAAGTTATATCATAAACAAGTACAAATTCACTATGGTGACAATGATCACTATGTATATCTAAAATGTACCAAATAGGGCCAGCCAAATAGCTCAGCAGATTAAAGCGTCCACAAGCAGGCGCAGGGGCAGGGGTTCGATCCCTGGGTATGCCGTGCCAGCCCCGCCTCTGCCCCAGAGC